CAAATGACCAAATCTTTCCAGTTTTTCTCCTTTCTGTTTTGATTGAAATCACTATTTTTCTTCCCTTAATCTTCTCTGAAAAGTGTTTTACAGCAGTTCACAGTTAAAATAAGTCCTTAAGGGATTATTTAGCAACTGAATTAAGTTGAAATTACTAGATTTCTAGTTAGCATTATATTGTAGAAGTAAATGTCTTCATTTCTCTCCAGTTCGTAGCAAGGTTATTTTATATGAAGATTGTTTTATCTGAGAACATATTTCCTTTAGGTGCCCCGGTTTTATAGCATTCTATTTGTGATTTAATGCACATGGAGGTACATGTGTGTTACTCTTATAATGGAACCAGAGGGAAAAAAAAGGAAATCTGTCCATCTGCAATAGTTTAGTGGGAAAGAGCTATTGTTTTCCAGGGTTTTTTTCAGCCTATGGAAGATTGCTTTTTCCTAGCTAGTTCTTAGTAGAGGAAGGCAGGTAGTTAGTGCTCCATCCAAGGAACACTGACACTAGTATGTACAAGCTCAATTGTGTAACTAATTATCTAGAAAGACCCTATGGAACAACAGCTGGAGAAGATTAAAGCAGGTGGATTTGTGTCTTGAAACCCCACGGTGTGGGGTTAGCTTTGCTGGCATGGTTTCAGGAAAAATATCTCTCCTTCATCTCCTACACCTGAGATCTTGATATGAAAGGCTCCAGGTTGCTTATTCCTCCTTTCAATAGACTGAGTCACAACTTCCAAGGGTAGGAGCCAACAGGAAGAGTTCAAAGGTGGAATGTTTGTGCAGGAATTAGATGCAGGAAGCTTCTCTGTTCGTGAGCATTTTGCAGGAGGCAAAAGCACACATCTCTGGAAGAGGAAAATGAAATTTTGTTTTAGAGAGCTGATAGTTTTACTCCATGTTTTGCTGCCAGGATAAGGTCCTCAGCTGGCATGAACAGCTGAATTCTGTTGAAGTGCATGGGGCTGTGCCAGGTAAGGCCACCCTAAGATCAGGCCTCAAATATGTAATCAGAATGCCTTCCTGATGTCAGGTGCCCTGAAAATGTGTGACAAAGCTTCTGCCAAGTCTGTTACTCCAAGTGGCTCTCTTAAAGAGTTGGTTGCTTCAAGGAAATTATGAGCTACTGCATTTTATTATTTATCTCTCTCTCTTGCCTTCTTTTGGTATTTTTCTTTCAACTAAACCATATTAATTTTGAGCTATAAAACTTTCTAAAAGCCTGCATAAATTAATGAGCTAAATCCAGCAGTATGCAATGATCCATGTCACATAAAAATGTAATCAGCATTTTTCCCAGAACTGCCGGCACCTTAGAACTTTGCAGTAAACCAAATATTTTTTAAGTGGTGCAACCAAATGAAAACTCTAAATTTGCCAGCAGAAGGTGGATTGCTGATGCAGTAAATCTGCTTTTCTTGTACCATCCAGGCAATTAATCCTTTATTTCAGAAAAATCCCCATAAACCACCTGTGTGTGTTCCCAGCAGTGTGAAGATAACTTGTGAAATTTGGGAATTGTTTATTCTTCACTTTTCTCTCCTTCTGTCCCTTTTTAATTTAGCCAATAAGAAGACATAGAGCACTTAATAAAGTTGATCTCAGCCCTAGCTGAATACTCTGAAGCATTAGTGTGCTTAGTTTTAAATAGAGGAGTGTTGGTATTCCTTGTCCAGGCTGGTTTTTTTCCAAACATATGCTGTGTTGTGGTTCACATATTTCATGGAATATAACTCTCTGGATATGCTGCATGCTGTGCTATAAGCTCTTTGCATAGACTGTAAATCCTCAAGGATTTTGCAAAGTAAGAATTTTGTAACACATATTTACTGCCTAGGGGTCTGATTCTCTAATTAGTCCCATACAGGTAAATTCTTACACTCACATAGATGCAGGCATATTCTTTTAGCTCAAGGGTCTGCTTGGCAGATTTTGACTCAATAAATATTAAAGGATGCAAGACCCCAGCCTCAGGAATCAAAGAAAATGCTTCCTAAATGTGGTGCTTTTAGTTAAACATCCCACAGTGAATTTGGATTAAGACCTGATTCTAAACTGAGTTCATCATTCTTAATCTGCAGTGTGGGGACAAAATCAGGCCATTGAGACAAAAATAAACATTTTGCTCAGATCTGCCTCTTTATCTGATGTTGGAAGGTCCCATAAAAGAATGAAAAAGAGTGTTGAAATACAGCTACAAATTTTAATGGTTTTATTACTCTTATTGAGACAGCATATAAGAAGTCTGTATATATGATGTGTGTCTGTGGTCTTTGACCACAGAACTTAACTTATGAGAAAGGAAAGTGTTGACATTTGGTAAAGAAATAGGTTCCTCCCAGCCACCCACCCACAAATACAGAGTGTGTAGCAATCGTCTCCTAATGTGCTTTTTTTCCCTCCAGATATATGTGAGTGCTCTGATCTTTTATTTGCCTCTTTAATGCATCCCTGCAAATGAAATTAGTATTCTGGGATATTGCTAAAACATCCAAGTGGCTCTTTTGCATCAGCACTGGCTGGCTTGAAATGAGCTCCAGAGGGAGCCTTGAAAGGGGGGGATCTCACATCACAAACTATTTGAGGATGTAGAATCAGGAAAGGAAGATTAGAAAAGGAAGAGGCTTTTGATTTTTGGGGGGTTGCCTGAACCTCCTCTTTCAGCTCTAAAGTTTCCTTAGCAGAAGCCTAAATTTCCAGCACCAAAAATAAGTGGAGACAAAACTGTTCAACTCTGGGTCCTGCATATGGTTTGATAAATACCGAACAGCACAGCCTGGAATCCTGCGTGGCTCACACTGTGTTTCCAGCTCTGTGGTAAACACATGAATAGAAAGGAGAAGGCAGCAAGGCTTAAACTGCACTTGCCAAGAACATCTGCATTTATGAAAAGCTTTGCCTAATTGAAAATCTAGTAGTTTCAAATGCTTTCCAACTGAGAGTTTGGAAACTCGCTCAGGGGCTGCTAAGATAGCAAGAAACAGCAGTGGCTTTGAGCACTGAGTTCAGGTTACTCCACCACCCTCCTCCTCATAGCTTGGACATTGAGGAGGTGCTAATAACATCTTTACAATTTCTAAAAAGGGAAAAATTCTCTCCTTAGACTTCAACTACATTATTCTGTAGTTCTCTAACTCCCTGTCCTTACCATCATCTCCCCTTCCCTTCTCCTCCTCCTCAATACTTCCTCCTCCTTTGAGATCTACTACACCAAAAATATATTTGGAAATACCACAGACTATTGTTTTTATTAGTGACTGGAAAGCTTTGTAGTAGGATGCTTTTGTGTTTCATTTGTTTTCCTTGCTCTGGCACAGCTGTTTTTGCTTTAGCAGCATTAGAGAGATAGTTAAACTATTTGTGGCCTTTTCTAACCCAGCAGATCTCTTCCACTGAGTGCTTTAAACTGAATGACTGAGACTGTAAGTAACAGGTTGTCTGCGTGGGCAGTTTTGTGCATAAAGTTACAAATGCACTGTTTTTATGAGATCTCTTAATTTGTTCAAGCAAAACACCGAACACTGTGAAGCAAGTCCCAGTTTCCCTATAAATTTCCCAGCCAGAACACTGGCAGAACCTTGACTCTGGAGGATACAGAACAAATGAAGTAATAGATCTTGTTCAACCCTACACATGTTCAGAAATATTAACGTAGAAGATGTTCGTGTAAGTGTGCTGATCCCCACTTCAGCCAAGAGGGAACAGGAAGAAAAGCCAGAGCAGATGTTGGGGGCAGAATGTGGTCTGAGGACAAATCTACCAAAGGTAGCATGTAGCTGCTACAAATGCCTTACTGGCCACTGTGATTACTCAGAGCAAGATGGGGAATTAGGAAGCTGGCTTCAAGTCAGAGAATGGTGAAATGAAGTCAGAGAAAGTGGTAAATGAAGAATGAAGCCAACAAAAGGTAAAGTAAAATGAAAACATAAATGGAGAGTGAAAACATAATATCTGTGCAAAGGCAAAGGGAAAAGAGGAATAAGTTGCACTGGAGGTTTCACTGTTCATGTCTGGTGACATAATGTAAGTGATATTGAAAGTATGGGCTGTTGAACAGCAGGAAAATGAAAGTCAAGAGTGTAACTGTGTCCTGCTAACTCCCAGTCTTACCACACATTCTCACCACCTCTGCTGGGCAGACACAAGCTACAAGTGGTTAGGTTTGGAGACTCCGTGTGCTTAAGGGTGGCCTGGCAGTTTTGTTCCTGGCAAGGTCAGGCTGATGCAGACCTGGCTCAACTTGGCTGTGTGAACTTGAGCTGGCACTGGGCAGGCATGTGGCATGGAGGAGGTGGCACCATGCCTGTCAGCACCTCACAGCAGTGCAAAAGCAGCACATAGATCAGCTCACTGATTAGACATAATGAAGGTGGATTGGTGGAGGGACATATTATGTCTCCTACTACTTGCCTCTTTATGCAATGGGTTGGGAAGCAATTGCACTTGTCAGAAACAACCTCCTTTGTGGCACTGCAAAAGAAATGGCTGAAATGTCCTTTCAAGCACATTTTTCTCTGCTGTTTTTTTTCTTTTTCCTTTATTAAAAATAATTTTTTTTTCTCCTGTCAGTTTTGCTGGGGTCCCATCTGTGGATCCATAGCCAAATGAGGGACGATGCAGAGATAATAGTCAGTTATGCTGAGAAAGAAAATACTTGATTTCCAGGTCCTGTCTGCACTACTTCTCTGTAGGTGTGTGTCATCTAGCAGGCTTTATTTAGCACAACAAAGTCCAGGGAATTGTCCACATGTCTATCCCCAGACAGGGACTGTTTCTGTCCATGGGAAGGCACTTCACAAGTACAGGAGTATCAGCCATCCATCCTACAATGCCATAATAATCAATGCAGCTGCATTTAGCTCATTCCATGTTTTTCTTCTCAATCAAATAGCAACATTCACATTTCAGCCAAACTGTTATCCCCCAGCCCTGATTCTTACCTGTGACTAGACTCCAGTTACGATCTTTGCACTGACTTTTCTCCTGACTGGCTCGTTTCAGGGCTCCAAAGAGTGCGTCAGCTGGAGAAAAACACAAGGTACTTCAGACGAAAACTGCATGAAATGGGCTTCATCATTTATGGCAATGATGATTCTCCTGTTGTTCCCTTGCTCCTTTATATGCCTGGTAAGATAGGGTAAGTACTGAAAAAACCTTGCTGGCAAAATAAACACTATTGAAGTTTGTGGGTTATTTGGTACACACTGCAGAAGATGATGTTCTCTGTGGTAGGTGCTTCCCAGGGGAAACATACACTGTAGTTTGAATCTGTCATTTAGTTCTGTTTTCCTTTTGCCCCTAGGTTTAATTTTGAGTTGTTCCAGATGTCAGAATTTTAAAATTTTTCTCTTTTCCTTTTTTAACATGATCTGGAATAATACTTTTGATAACATTTTGAATTTGGATTTTTTTTATTTTGAATTTGTAATTATTAAAGGAGACGCATTGCCTTTGATGTATGAACTGGTTCAGAAGGATGCTTTTTTTTCCCCATCTGATATTTGAATGGTTTTTACATGTTTTATCATTCAGTTCATCTCAAGCACCACTTGTGCACTGACTTGGACACAGAGACCAGAAGACAGAAGTAGCATAATGGAAGTGTTGAGCTGTAGAAAGTATTTGTAGGTAGCTTAGGGTGGCTGTGGGCTTTAGGTCTCCTACATGCTACAGAAGCCTTCCTAACTAGCAGATCAATTGTGAGATCAAATAAACCATCACACAGATTTCAGGTTTATTCCTATTGGTGTTCAGGAACCAAGAATCTGTACCTTCCACAAGCCCAACTCCTTCCATCCTTATGGACTGTGAATGCCCACATGGTTTGATTTGTATTCAGAGATTTTCATTGGCATAATGAATCGTGTCTACCTGAGGAGGCCTCTGTGCCATCACATTTCTAGTATTTGACACCCACTTGACTTCATGAGCTGCTAAGCAGCAAAGAATCTCAGTCCTGCTGGTGAAATTCTGGCTTTTATGGAAATCAGTGGGAATATTCAATCAATTGAAAACAGGATTTAACCTATTGTTGCGTTATATGTGAATGTTTTCTGTGTTCAGCTTATTGGGGGTAATTTATTTTTGATTTTTCTCCTCCTGCTTTTTCTCTCCTCAGGGCTTTTGCAAGACGCATGTTAGAAAAGAACATCGGGGTGGTCGTGGTTGGGTTTCCAGCTACTCCTATCACAGAGTCCAGGGCTCGCTTTTGTGTGTCAGCTGCACATACACGGGAGATGTTGGACACGGTGAGTGCAGCACATGTCCTGCCCAAATCAACCTCAGGTGCCAAGGAGAGCGGGAGAAGCTCTGCCTCTGTTACTTTGAATCTTAATAATTCACTTTTGCATTTGTTTTCGTGGCCTTGGCACTTGATCTTTCAAGACATTTGAGCCTTATACATTTTACTTTCTGAAATTAGTTATGTGACAGTTAACTTCTTATGTTCTTCTATTTCTAATAGTGACCAAATCTGTCATCACTAATAAAAACCTACATGAAAAGCACAGCAAGACAAAAGTTAAATCCTATGTCAAAACTATTAGAGTAGGAAACCTGAAACTATATGGAAATAATTGAAAATCAAGTTTTCCATACCCATAGTTCCACTCCATATTTCCATGTGTTTCTTGAACTGCAGAAGTATATGGGACAGCCTTGGGGGTACAGGTGGAAATTGCAAACAGTTTTGGAACTGTTTGAACCTAATCAAGTTTAATTGATGCTGTCTGGAAAGTCTCAGTTCTGTATCTTTCTCTGATATCAGAAATACCATTAAGAGTGTGTTGAGACTTCCATCATAAACCTCTGTTCCAACATGGAAATATGTTTAAAATAAACTCTTTGAAATTTTTCATTTCCTTTTTTTGCCGAAGGTGTTTTTGGCCTGGCTTGAGATACTTTCATTCTCAGAATGAGCCAACTTAGAGGCATGAAACAAAGAGGCTTAACAATAAATTTCAGGCTTTACTTTTCCTCTCTTTGCACGAGTGTTGATGGTCAAAGCCAAAAATCCTTGAACATGGAAAGGCATTTGGGTTAAATGTGGCACTGGTTCATGCAGACAAGCACTGGGGCCTGCAGAGAGCTCCTGAATCTCCTTTTGCATCCTGAGATACACATGGATGTGGGGGCTGGAGCCCTGCCCTGCTGAGCAGCTCCCATACCAGTGTAGGTGGCTTTAAAACAACATCAAAAACCTGCTTTGCATGTGTGCTGTGTAAAATTCCTGCTGCTTTTAAAGGTTCAGTAGTTATTAACAAGGAACAACACCAAGGTAGCATTTTGTAGAACAAACCATAGCTACGTTCTTGTGTTGGTCCTTACCAGCTTTTGCTGTTTGACTGTAAGGATTTTGGCTTATGTAACAGGCAATGAAGTTGATCTGAAGATTTATCTCTTGAGGTTGCTGCTTTGATTTTTTCCTTTCTCCCCACCCCCAAGTGTCAAGCCCACCTCATTTTTGGGCCATCATGGTGCATTCACTCACTTCCTGCTCCCTGCACCTTGCTGCTTCCAGGGAAGGTCTGGCACTCCCCAGCCATCACTGAACATGCTGTGCTTTTGCCACAGTACTTGTGGCACTCTTACAGCATGGGGGAATGGAAATGCCCTGAGTTTAATTACTTGCAGAAAGAAAGCTTTTAGGACAAAACACTTTGTGGCTGTGCCTAAATCCAGGGTAACAACAGGTAACAAGCACAATGAAAACATTTCCCTTTTGTATCTCAGCCTGCAACTAAAGAGAAAAGATCCATGCAAGGGCAAGCTCCCAAGAATAACTTCCTTAATGACCTGGAAGCTATCTTTCTGCATAAACCATTACTAAATTACTACTTTTTGTTCTAAATTACTTTTTGTTTATGAGCTTGTTTTAGTGGCTTAACAGAAACAGGCTTAAAATCAAAGTTGCAGTTTCCTTCTTTGATGCCAAAAAGTTGGCTGCTCTTGAATGGGGGTCAGATGCTGCAAAACACTGAGCTGCTTCCCTTTGGTACAGAGTTCCTCAGCTACTTTTTGAATCCACTGAGAGCTGGGGACACAGCTCAGCAAATTGCATTACATTATTAATGAATAAATATTTATCCCTGTGATATAGAAAATAATGGCATTCAGTAAAATGATCTTAAACTATTCAGACTATTTATGCTGACTCTGCTCAGCACTTTGAATTGAGTACTACCTAAGAAAATGCATTGGCAACCCCAATCTTTGGGAGCTACAGAGGAATACTGAAGTATAGCCTCACACATTTCTGTTGCACATGCAAAGATAACTTTTTATTTTGGTTGTTACCTCCCTGTGCTTTTGGAAAAAGTAATTTTTTTCATCTGTGCTCAATTAATGTACTTACTAATAACCCATAACCTACTGAAGGAGTAAATTCCTTTCTCATAGATGCTGTTGTACATCTACAACTGCACTGATGTTCACTGTTGTAGACTGAATGCAAAATTTGCCCATTTGTCCTTTAAACTTTGATTTTTTAAAATAATCTTCTTGTTCTGCAGTAAAGTAAAAGTTAGCAGAAGTTCATTTCCAATAGAATTGACAAAGTCTCATGGTCTTACAGGTTTTGAATGCTCTGGATGAATTGGGTGATTTTCTACATCTGAAATATTCCCGGTATTCCAAGTCAGCTCATCCTGAACTGTATGAAGAATCTAGGCTTGAACTTGAAGATTAAGTTTTCCACCCATGAAAAGAACATTATGATGCTATGAAAGGGCGGAAAACCTGAAAACGAAACAATACAAATGCATTTCTTCCCTTCTAAGGACAATTTTTATTTCTCAGTTAATTGAAAGGAGGGGAAGCTCAGGTGTTGCATCACGTTGTATCAAACTTCTGTATTCAAGAGACTGAAATATTGATACAGATTTGCCTCCCCAGGAGATCTGTCCTTCTTAAGGTATTTTTGATGCAGAATGAATGCATCCATTGATCCAGTTGGTAACGTACAGCTTTTGGTATGGCCCTTTTTTATGAAGAGGCTTCAGATAGTCTTAATTGTGACTGAAATAATAAAGTTTAAAAAGTTAATAGATTCCAGTGTAATATAGCTGAGCTTCATCAGTGAGACTGATCTGTTAAAGAGCATTAATCAAGACGCTGGTGTGGACTGCTACAAAGGAATGAGCAGAAAGTGATTTCTTTAACTAAGTTGCACTATCATGCATTTCTCCATGGACAGAAAGGGTTAGAAAAAGGCTAATGCTGAGAACAAGAAAAGTAGCCTGATGAGATCATGTATTTCTGACAGCAGGTTATGGGAAAGAGAAAATTCCTCCTCTCCACAGACCTTTTCTCGGCACCTAAATGCACTCTAAACTTTGAATTCTATAAAAATTTGGGCTTAAACATAAACAGAAATGCTTTTCTGCCAACTCATTTGACCCACAACCTATCACATCTTATCACTACCTAAGTTCTTCAGCAGGCTTGCTCCCTTTTTGTGGGGCAGTAGTAAATAATTTTAATAAACATTTAACTTTCCCATAAAAACCTTGATCAAAACAGTCAGATACTTGCAGTTCACAAACTGCAGATGACATTTATGGGCTCATTCCTAAGTTTCTTGAACTACTTATGGGCCTCATAAATTGACTAACAAGTACATAATGCTGAAGCTGTTAGTTATGTGAAGTTCAAGATACCATAAGCAATTCTGCCACCTGCTAAACAGAAAACTCCACCATTTCTATACATGCTACAGTCATCCATGGAATAACATTTCTTGAAATATTTTTGTCTGTTTTATGCATGTCAGGGGTTGTTCTGTTCAGGTTTTTTTTGTTTTCTTTTTTGTTGGGTTTTTTTTGAGTCACTTGTTTTTCAAATAATTATTGTATCTTTTCAAGAGGAAGATGCCCTTGTCCCCTTGTCCACTGCCCAAGTGACAAATGCTTAAGGCTACCTGAAGGAAATTGTTCCAGCCAGCAGTTTCCCTGCAATGCCAGCAGCCACAAGCATCAGGTCTGTGTGGGCTGAGTTGCTGGAAGGAGATTGGAGGCTTTTGCCTTTTTTTTTCCCCAGTGTTGAAAAGCAGTTCTGCAGCTTTAAGAATGTACTCCAAACAATTCCACACTATCAAATGTCATTGTAAACACATCAGATGAGAGATGTTTAGCTTTCTGTTGCACAGATGTACCACACTTTCATGTTCTTTTGAAAGCTGTGGTGTAAACTTAACCCACAGCTGCAATATTAGATTTAAGAACAGAACAATTAAATTGTGGAGTACCAATTACACTATATTACTCCCTGCTTGTTAAAGCAGCTTTCAGGATATAACAAGGCTGACTGATTATGAGGGCCCATTTTTTTGTTGGATTTTTGTTGTTGTTGTTGTGCAAGTTAATAAAAATCCAGTGGTGCTATAACTTTAAGAATTGATTACAACACATTCCGTAATCCCAAATGTCAGCTTTAGGAAATATTTATCAAGGGCTGGGGGAGGACTAAGTGTCATGTGATTCTTCACTGTGATCGATGGACTGGAAAAGCATTGCAGAGGTTCGGGGGAGTTGTGTTTGTGGATAAGAGCAAACTCACTGTATAAATATTTAAATACTCAAGCACAGGACAAGGAGAAATTAGGAAACTTCATCTTTGAGTACTCTGGCAGTTTGTAGTGCACAGCTTTGTTGCAGGGTGAGTGCACTTACTATGAAAGGAGATGGGTTGAGAAATTTCTGCAACCTGTTCCTTGAGGAAAAGTACTGGATTTGATATATTCCTTTTTGATCTCTATTGCTGAACTTCTGCGGCCAGATCCTCACTTGACTTCTGACCTTCCATTTTGGGGTATACAGCCACAGTTTATATTTCAGCAAACATTATTACATGTACTGTTGCAGGCAACACACTATTTCCCTCAAAGAGAGGCCTGAGATTGATTAAAGTACAGAGTGATCACTTTCTGTGCCCCAATAGGGGAATGTTTTCAGTCTAAAGCCGAATTCTTCCTGCCCTCAGAACATTACTCTCACTCATATTAAGGAGACAGGACAGCTATTTTTTAGAGACTGTCAGTTGATTTATTATGTGCTCTTTTCTGATTTCTTCCATCCCTTACACACTGGAGGAAGTACAGACTGACTACCCCTGGGCTTGAGGAACAGTTAGGGAGAAATCTCTGCTCCACTGGTGCAATAAGAAAACTCCCAGGAACTTCAGTCTTCTAGATTTTCCCCATGAGGTTTATAATCTGGCACTTCCTTTTCTAACAGTGGAGATTTTGCTGGCTTACTTCAATTTTTATAGATTTAGAGTTGATCAGCATTTGAAGACTCTATTTTAGCTGGTGTCTGAAAAAATCTGATGGCGTACCCATTAGGGAATTTGCACCTCTAGCACAGGACCACATATTTCCTAGAATGTGCTCCCTCTTCAGGCACGTGTGTTCTTGGAAAATATAGTTCTCTCTAATTGCTTCAGAAGAATTTGAAGAGCTGCCTTCCATAAATTTAAAAAATGCTCAACTTTTAATCCAGTGGATTAAGTATAACTACACCAACTTTTTGTGGGCAAGCTGCATCCTGTTATCCTATGTAAAGTCTTGATTGACCTATATGATATGGGAAAATATCATATATCTAGCGTTTCTGTTTGACTGAGAAACTGAATTGTTTGCCCTTTCCTGCACTTTTACCCTTCCTCATCTTTTAGAAAGTCTTCATTTCCTGAGCTTATCAAACTTGTCAAGGTGGTTCCCTCCTCCACTTCTGTCTTTTTCTATTGTTCTCTCTGTTCTGCTGCTCTCTGTTGGGAGAAACACGCAGGCAGCTGCAGTGGACCTGAGTGCAACAGTTGGCTTTCTGGGCAAAGCCTCACTGCCTGCTTTTCCTGGTATTCTCATCAGCTCTTGCAAACTTTATCCTTCCTTTTCAAGTAAAAAAGTTTTGGGTTTTTTTTCTTGATAAATTCAACATGGTGGTGATAAGTTCCGATGACGAACCAAATCTGAACTACCCAAGCTGTTGAACCAAGAATGGGCTTGTTCTGTCATTTATACAAGTGTAGATCAGGTTAAGTCTTGCTTTGAAATCAATACTGTTGGTTAAAAACTAGTACAATTAATTACTGGTGCAATTTACAGCTAGTACTATTTAAAAATAGTACAACTGTGAGAGGAACCTGTCAGTGTGAGGTGAGCTGCCTGCATTTGTTTCAGAGGGGTTTGAACACTGGTGTCTCTGGACTGTTTCACAGCTGCTGCTCTTCACAGGGGACCAAGATTTGAAGTGGATCTATTTAAGGTAGGATTTCAGCTGGGTTTTATTTTCTTTTTTTTTTTAAGCAAAATGTTTGGTTGAAGGTGTGTTGCAGATTTCCCTGTTCTGCTGTGACAGGGAACAAAGTAGTGGTGTAAGAAAAGCAGTCTATACTGAAGGTGTTTATGTACTTTCTAGCCTACTTTGAAATCCATAAAGATTCTCTAACATATGATCTGCTTTTTATTTGTGCAGGAGGTTTAACTGCTCTTCAATTTAAAACATAGATCAGGACCAAATTTTAAAGAAACCACACCACCAGCTGAGAAATGGCAGATTTCATGCCATGATTGGAAGCTGAACATTAGATGCCTTCAAAAACAGCATCTAGGTGTTTCCTTCATTTACTCACACATCCAGGGTAGTTTGTGCTCCCTGCAGATCAGTCACAAGATAATGAGGACTCACTTACTCCACTTCAGAGGCAGAGCTTCAGGCTTGTCAAGGTGGTCCCAAAACCACACAAAATCATAGTTCAGCACCATTGGAGCAGGAGTCCAGGGTCTGAGTCAGGCTGGTTGCTCAGCACTGACTAAAGAGGGGAGTGTGTTTCCACGTATGTAGCATGTCACTGACAAGTGGCATAAGGAACCAAAGACAAATGCACTTATATCACGTGCTAACCAAATGAAAAGCCTAAGTGTAGTGCCATTACAGGATCTGGAGAGATGTGGTAGACCTGGAGATTTGGACTGGGTCCAGTTGTGTACAGGGAGCAAGTGCAGGTTCTGATAACAAGCTCCGTGCTTCTTCTCTCCTCACTTCACTCTTGGAACCAGTCCTAAAGGTGCAAAACTTATTATCCAGCATAAACAGAACAGACAATTGGGGATACAAGCATCATAAAGTCATCTCAGGACATCTGTGCAGAAACTTTCCGTGCATTACTGGGGATTCTACTTTCATGTGGGAGCTGCTTTTCCAGCAACCCTCACACCAAGGACACAGCTACTCTCAGAGTGGCCAGAAGAGGCATGATATTTTTTATTGTTCCAGGACCATCTATTTATTTTTTGGCATTTCCTGATGTGCTGAAACTCCTGATACAAACTCTGACTCCCACTGCATACTCCAATACCCATATTTTAAAATCTGCTCAATGAACCACTGTAACCTAAGAATTAGAGCTCTAAACTGCATACAAGAGACCCAGTTCTGATCTGCCTCTGTTCTGCTAAGCAATTGCAGATGAGAAACATTAGTGTTCCTTGCCTCATTTCTATCCCTCTATAGGACTCTGATAGCAATCCTAATTTGTTTGTAAAGCAATAAGTTGAACTGATGAGAAGAGCTACAAGAGTGAAATGTTACTATTATCTGAGTGATCTTTTAATTTCTACATCTCAGAATGTCCCCATTAATCCTGTAAAAGTCACAAGTACTCTGTTTACGAGACCTAGAGTATGAAACAGTACAATGATGAAGACTAATTATAAATCATAGGAAAACAAATTCTGGTAAACAGATTCCTTTAACATTTCCATTCTGTGCAGGCTTTGTCAATGTCTTATGACAATGATGCCAGTTGGATTAGAAAGCTTTTAAAAATGTGAATCTATCTTTTCAAAGATTTGTAGCCAAGCCTTTCCAGTTTGTTAAAATGTAATTAGTGTCTGCTTGTTAATATAATGTTCATTGATTTTTAAAGTACACAGACTTCAAAGCTAGAAACAAATAAATAAAAAGAGGGATAATTCAAACCAGAGTGGAACAGCTCAGACAGTTTTACTCTTTTTTTGCCAGGATCCTGAAGCTGTTGTGTTCAAACAATGCCACAGTTTCAGTGGAAATGTGAAGATTAAATCCAAACCCTGCATGTCAGCTTTTTTTTGTAATAGACTATC